GGGATATGTGGAAGGCATTCAGGCTGAATTCGGGGAACTGGAGCACAGATCCAATTCCCTAAATCAAGAGCCCCTCACCAACATCAAGGAACCTTCCTTGAGGGGGGGTAGAGCGAAGGCTGAGCTGTTAACCGTCTCACCAACACCACAGTAACTAACTACCAACTACCATCACTGTCACCAACATCACAGTTAACGGCTACTACCCCCCCTCAAGGAAGGTTCCTTGATGTTGGTGAGGGGCTCTTGATTAGGGAATTGGATCTGTGCTCCAGTTCCCCGAATTAAGCCTGAATGCCTTCCACATCCCCCCCCCCCAGGCGCTGTATAATCCTCCGGGTTTAGCGTTTCCCCTTGATTATAATAATAATAATAACGGCTACTACCCGTCACCAACACCATAGTCACCCTGTACCTTCACTATCACCAACACCACAGGAACCATCTATCACCACTGTTACCAACACAATTACCCTCTAGCACCATAATCACCAACAGCAAAATCAACCTCTTCCTGAAACAATAGACTTATATTCCTCTTCCTCCCCCACCTACGAGTATATGTACAATGTGCATAGTATATACACATTGTACATATACTTGCATGTTGTTTGGGGAAGGAAATATGTAAATACTTACTGTTGACTTTTACTAGTTCTTCATTCCTACTTTATCATACTACAAGCAGGTGTACAGGTCACAAGACGACACCTGTTCATAATACGTCACAACTACCATTTTCTGCCTTCATTGCGTCAGCAACACACACACACACACACACACACACACACACACACACACACACACACACACACATTAAGCATCCACTATTACCTCTGTAACGGAACTCACAGTTAGAAGTGTGGGCGCAGCCGACCACCACTTAGCTCAGGATCCTCGGTGGTCCAATCTTCTGCCAACTTCCTTTACATACTAACAGTAACTTATTCAGTGTCTTTATTTTATACCGTTATATTTTTATCTGCTGTTGATGTGTATTTCTAACTTGTAACTAAACATATTTTTTCCTGCAGTTAAGGTGATTTATTGGTGAGTGTGTGTGTGTGTGTGAGTGTGTAATTGTTGGTAATAATTACCTGTCTGTTATTATCTCTTTTCTTTTAGCTAGACTAAAGCTATTCTTGTGGTATCCCATCTTCAGTACTTTATTCATCACTAGAACAATAAATAACCCAGCGTTGCCCTGGTATGTTTCATATCTCGTAAGATGAACTATTAATGTACAGGAGTAAAGGAAACTTTTCCTACACTAGATCTTAGGAAGGATTCAAAGGTTTTCTTCCCGCACCTGCCGTGTCAGGAGGCGGGTGTGGACGTCTCACTCTCCTCCTTGACAGAAATCAGGTGTTGGGGACTGCATCCTATGTAAGATGAACTATTAATGTACAGGAGTAAAGGAAACTTTTCCTACACTAGATCTTAGGAAGGATTCAAAGGTTTTCTTCCCGCACCTGCCGTGTCAGGAGGCGGGTGTGGACGTCTCACTCTCCTGCCTTGACAGAAATCAGGTGTTGGGGACTGCATCCTATGTGACCCTGCACATAGTGCTAGGATGCAAGTGTGAGGGACTCACGCTCCTGCACCTATTTTCTCAAGAGGCAAGTGTGGAGGGATTTACATCTTTGTAAGTGCCTTGTCTGGAGACAGATGTAGTAACTTGTCTTGCCAGAAGGTAGATGTGAAGGACTCGTACCCTTACACCCACCTTGTCAGGAGATAGGTATAACTCACACTCTTGCACCCATCTTGTTTAGAGTTAAGTGTGGGGTACTCACGGTCCCACACCTGCTCTATCAATAGGTGGGTGTGGGGTATTCACGCTTATCAGGAGGTGGTATATTATCTAAAGTTTCGACTCTAATAACTAATTTAATGTAAAAAAAATGTCCATTGGGATGCCACCACTTAAATAAAAATTATAGAACGTCTGTGTTTTTTTTTTAAATCAGTATAAAAAAGAGCTTTAATATGATTTGCTAATGACCAGTGTAATCAACACAACAGTCTTACTAAGAAGCGCCGCCCTCAAATTAATATTATGGAATTCTTTATATACTCAAGCAATTAGTTTAAAAGAAGACCTTTAAAATATCTCACTCAACATATTGGAAAGAAAATAATGTCCCCCCCCCCTTCAAGGGGTGGCCTCTCCCCATTTAAAACTTGGAACGTTGTATTGTGTAAAACTGCTCCGGATATAAGTTTGTGACAGAATTTAATTTCACTGGCCTAAGTAAGTTGTAGAAAAATACACAAAAATATAACTTTTATAAACATATTGCTGGACCATTCCACGATAAAAGATTTTTTCTTGTCGCTTTAGCTTCTCCTTTTCTCAATTTACAACTGTGGTTCATTTCCTCCCTCCTGATGATGATGATAAGACAATTTCTCTGAAATCTTTCATATCCTTTCATAACATTATATGTGGTTATCATGGCTTTTTTTTTTCTTTCAGCCAACGAAGTTGTCTTCAGCGTTTTCAGACTTTTATGGGAAAATTTTTGGTGTTCAGTCCCACTGTTTTTTATCTTCCGGACACTAGCAGGGAAAAAACAAGAGACTACAATTACAAATTGTGAGAAGATGGGTGCAAAAAAAAAAAAAAAACGCTAGAAAATATTTACACGTAGTGATAAACTTCTGACATTTGTGCAACTATAACTTATAACCTGTAAGTTACATTAAGAACAACAACCTAAGCCATTTTCCTCAGAGTTTAGTAAGTCTCGCCGCCTCTAACGTTCCAGCAATTAGTAGTAGTATACATAGCTGGAGATACATAAATAAATTACTTAATGCAGTCTTATAATAACAAAATTACTATCTGATAATACTTCACTGGATTAGATTTATCTTGAAGCCTCGTAGATTTCACGAGAAAAGTAGAATAACAATGTATACTTTCAAACAGCCCTAAAATATAACCATTTTATAAAACGATAACGCACTTTAAGATACGTAAGAAGATTAATGAATTATTTGTTGTTTTCGCACAATACTTCCAAAAGATAAAATTTTCTGTAACCAGAATGGTGGTAGCGGCGTCATATTTATGACAGGATTACCAGAGCGAGGAGCGGGGGTCGCCACAGATAGGAAAAACATACGTCTGTGACGCACACTGAGGCTGGGCCACGCTAAGACTAGGCCACCTGGTTGTGATTGACGATGCAGAATAATGAGCAAGTGGGCAGTTTAGAGCAGCTTTAGATCTTGGGTTGGTGGTTAATGCGCTCGGCTGGCCGTTAGCGGGCTCCGCTGGCAGTTAGCAATTCTCGCCTGGCCGTTAGCGTTGTTCGGCTGGCCGTTAGCGATGCTCGGTTGGTTCTCGTGGGAAGTTCTAAACAGACGAAGAGGTTGGTAAGGGAATGAAAATCCAGTTGTTCCTCAGTGTTGGTGAAGGGAGGTGACAGCTCTTCTTGGGTGTTTGGGTGGGGTATGTCTTGAAGGAGATATAACTTGACCGTGTGCTGGATGGATATATATATATATATATATATATATATATATTATATATATATAATATATATATATATATATATGCAATAAGACACAGTAAACAGGTGATTTCAGAATATGCAATACAGCCACATGTGAAAAAATAGAGAAATTCCCATTGTTCCTTGATAATGTGAGTAGTCACGAAAGCACTTGGAATTTCTCTATTTTTTTCACAGTGGTTGTTTTGCATATAGTATATTATATATTATATATATATATATAGTATATATATATATATATATAATATATATATATATATAATATATATATATATATATATATAATATATATTGATGTGTGTGTGTGTGTACTCGCTAATTCACCAAATTGTGGTTGCAGGGGTCGAGACTCAGCTCCTGGCCCCGCCTCTTCACCGAGTGCTACTAGGTCCTCTCTCTCCCTGCTCCATGAGCTTTGCCATACATCTTAAAGTTATGTATGGTGTGTGTGTATGTGTGATATTTTATAATTTCATGCTTCAAATACTTCGACAAAAAATCTACTGTAATATTCAACTTGTGGCTGGTGGGTCAGACACAGGTAACACTGCAATAACTCCCTGCGACTGTTATCGCTGGTGGGTCAGACACAGGTAACACTGCAATAACTCCCTGCACTGTTATCGCTTTGTGGGTCAGACACAGGGTAACACTCTGCAATAACTCCCTGCGACTGTTATCGCTGGTGGGTCAGACACAGGTAACACTGCTATAACTCCCTGCGACTGTTATCGCTGGTGGGTCAGACACAGGTAACACTCTGCAATAACTCCCTGCGACTGATATCGCTGGTGGGTCAGACACAGGTAACACTGCAATAACTCCCTGCACTGTTATCGCTGGTGGTCAGACAAGGTAACTGCAATAACTCCCTGCGACTGTTATCGCTGGTGGGTCAGACACAGGTAACACTGCAATAACTCCCTGCGACTGTTATCGCTGGTGGGTCAGACACAGGTAACACTGCAATAACTCCCTGCGACTGTTATCGCTGGTGGGTCAGACACAGGTAACACTGCAATAACTCCCTGCGACTGTTATCGCAGCTGAGCCAAAGAAAATGTAACAGGTTGCTAAAAATATACTTAAAATCTCCAATGCGCACAGCTCATTTATATATGTAGGGGATGTTTACTATGCTCGTAGTTCCTACCATAAAAGAGGAAAATATAGTTATCATATGACTGTTGGCGGATAAAATACCAGGAGGTCAATCCGAGAGTCAACGCCCCAGCGGCCCGGTCCATGACCAAGCCTCGCAGTGGATCACCCTAGTAGGTTTAGCGCCTTGTTTTGATTATAATCGCGGTGGATTGGACCTGATCAACCGGCTGTTAGTGCTCGGCACACGCAAACCGACATACAAGCCAGTTTAGGTAGCAAAATTAATTCTTCAGTATGCAGTAATTAAATTAATAGTATAAAGCATGTATACCTAGATACAGAGTTTTCTAAACGCTATTTTTTTCCCTTCAGAGTTGTGGCAGCGCGACGATGGGGGGGACTAAGCCATTTCTGCTGCTGGTTCTCGCCGTAGCCGCCTATGGTATGTACCGAGTTAAATTTGGTATCTGGTAAAACTTTGTATCAGGTACAACTTAAGCAATTTTACCAGTTTCTTTATATATTTTACTGCTAAACATAATGCGGTAGAGGGAGATCACACTTTATCTCGCTTCATCCTTCATGTACTCTTCAAGTGAGGGGGGGAGGGTGGTGATTTGATGCTGAAAGGCTCCTAATCCGAGGAACTGGAGCTACCCTCCTCCCTTTAATCAAACCTCATTATCAATCGCTTTCTAGGCACTGTATGATCCCTACGGATTTAGCGCATCACAAATATAATAATTGACTTGTGTAGCTCTTGGAGTGGTTCCCCCAGTTACCCGCAACTTGCTGAAGCTATCTGAAGCAGCAGCACCTCTCTCTGGTCTCCCCACCTGCACCCCTCCCTGTCCTCCCCATTTGCACCCCTCCCTGTCCTCCCCACCTGCACCCATCTTCACCCCTCCCTATCCTCCCCACCACAACCTTCTTCCACCACCACTCCTTTTATTCCCTGTTTAAAAATGCTTTATTAAATTTTTGCTAATAAAATCTTCATCTTGTTCCCCTTCAGAGTGCCTATAGAATCTCTGCCTTTATTATTATTATATGGATCAAACATTTAAGACACTGGAAATTACAGTTTCGCCGAAAAAAATACTGTATAAAACTTTTTAGGTTTGCAGTTCTGTTTCAACACTTAATGAAGACTTCTCACCCGCTATCAGCAAGCCTCGTGTGCTTGTTAGTGGTACCTCGGGATACGAACTTAATTCTTTCCAGAAGGCTGTTCGAGTGCCGATACCGAGCGAATTTGTTCCCATAAGGAATAATGTAAATTAGATTAATCCGTTTCAGACCCCCCCCCCCAAATACTTACAAAAGCTCTTACATGAATACACTTACATAATTGTTCGAGTTTTGAGGTGTTCGTATCCCGAGGTACCATAATTTCACAGAATGTGGTTTAAGTAGGCAAGCACGGGACGAGACATTAAATGAGAACCCTGAATATTGTCCAAGTGATCCGTCCATTACTTATCAAATTGCAAATACTTTTAATATAATTCTGTGAGACGGAATCATGAATATGGTATTTGCAGTAGTAGTACCAAGGCATACCATGAGTCTCATCACACTCGTTTATTATTATTCTTGTTGATTCGCGGGTATTCTCCCGGCCCGAGCCTATTCCAAGTGGTGGCCCGGCCTTGGCTCCCTGTCCAGGGAGTGTCTGAGACCTAAGTCTGCCATGGGAGGAGGCACAAGTACCTCCTCACCGTTGTGATCAACTGTCCTCAGGCCTAGCCACATTCCCCGCCCTCACGGGGCTCGTAGGGAGAAGCTAGGCCTCTCTGGTCTGCCATCCCCGCCCCAAGGGGGCTAATGGGAATGACAGTCTTGTGAGTTGCAAGCTCTGGCTCAGGCACCTACCCTACCCTACCCTAGAAGGGCTGGGCATGGTGTCGACCGTTTATTATTATTATTATTATTATTATTATTACTATACGAAAAAAATAAGCTAAACCAGGTGAGTTATACACCTATTCACATTCAGCAGTATATTACAATCACTTGTTTATGATTTGTTTTTGTGTATGTTTCAAGTTGTTCTTGGAATGTATTAATACCGTTGTTTAACCCTTCGGAAGGTTCATTCTATGTTTTCGTTCCAATTAGTATGTTACATAAGCTATGCATTTAATTTCTGCTACCATTTATAATTCTTATATTATGGAATGTGGATGCTTTAAATAAATAACCATAACTTTTAAAGGGGTGGACCGGTAAGCCAGTGGAAGGCCTCGATCAGGTGGCCAAAAGCTCCAGCGTGAGGAAACGTTTGTTCTGTTTCCTGACAAATCTTAACCTAACCTAACCCGAGACTCTTCTTCCTTGTCTGAGTTTGTAGGTTCAAGCCTATAGAGTTGCACAAAAAAAAAATTATAGGCCAATAGCCATTGTGAGGACTATTCTCAAGCTAACATATTTCATTACTTTGTATAGGCAACCCATAAGTAGCTTTCGTACAAACAATATATCTGTCATTTATAAGAAAGTATCTGAACAATGCGGGTGTGAGGAATTTTGATTTAAAAATCCAGCCTCTCTGCCCATTTTACAACTTTCTCAATACTTTCTCGGTGCAATACATGTGTGTGTGTGTGTGTATGTGTGTTTGTGTTGTACTTTATAGGTAGAACTTGTTACCATATCTTATAAATGAATGATTGTGTTGCTGAAGGCAACACAATCACTGTTGCCATAACTCCTCGAAAATCATTCTAAACATTAAGAAAATGCTATATTACATTGATGGTGAACACGGTAACACAAACTATCTCGAGACTCTAGTGAGGCGAGTACGTGAAGTTTAAATATATTTCCTCAATTTTTGTAAACTCTGTGTCTAAGTTTTTTGTAAAATTTGAAGGCTGGCATGCTACGTTAATTCACATACATAAATATTTTAAATGCATGATAACTGAGATACTTGTGGAACTATCAGTTATTAATATTGGTTTAAGCCGGGAGGTGAATTGGACCTGCCTCGCATGGGCCACTAGGCCTGCTGCAGTGTTCTTTCTTTCTTCTGTTCTTAACTCGTTGGCTTTCTAAAACCATTTATACAGATTTTAATGCATGAACACAATTTTTTAAAAGATGGTTAGTCCAGGTCGGCTAGTTTCATCGATTCTGTTTAGAAAGAAAAACACAAAATGTATGTACACATGTGTGTATCGCGTTATACCTGATAATTTTGTCACAGAATTTCAAGGCGTGTATCTCGGGGAAATATTAAAAAAAAATAAAATCTTAATAATCATTTTGGTTTGCAGGGCGGAGTATGGACGAGCCTCACCTGAAACCTGGAGGTAGGACTGCCAAGATGACTCCAATATGGCGGCAGAGCTCCGGCGTGGGTTCCGTCAAGAACTTGCGAACTGCCGGGGGCAACATGCTAACTAAGCTGGCTCTTCTGCCGTGCACCGAAGAGGGCTTCTTTCCCCAGCCCGGTTCCTGCCACAACTTCTATCGCTGTGTCGACTGGACGGGCACCAAGAAGCGTTTCTCTGTCTTTCGTTTCAATTGTCCTTTCGGTACCGTCTTTGACGACGATCTTGACATCTGCAACCATCCGAAAGCCGTTAAGAACCCGCCCGAGTGTTCGGGGGCCGCCGCTAATCTGCCTCTGCCAGAACCTCCTGGCACAGATCAGTCAGGAGGCACTGTGGGTACCGGAGGTTCTGCAGGAGGTCCAGGAAGTGGTGGATACCCTGGGAGCACTGGAGGCTCTGGAGGCGTTGGAGGTTCTGGAAGACCTGGAGGCCCTGGAAGTGGTGGATATCCAGGGACGACTGGAGGCCCTGGCGGCTTAGGAGGCCCAGGAAGCTCTGGAGGTGTTGCAGGACCTGGAAGTGCCGGAAGCCCAGGAGGTGCTGGTGGTGGTGGAAGTGGTGGATATCCTGGAGGCTCTGGAGGCGTTGGAGGTTCTGGAGGCCCTGGAGGACCTGGAAGCCCTGGAGGCCCTGGAGGATCTGGAAGCACTGGAGGCTCTGGAAGTGGTGGATATCCCGGGGGCACTGGAGGCCCTGGGAGTGTCGGAGGCCCAGGAGGTGTTGGTGGTGGTGGAAGTGGTGGATATCCTGGTGGCACTGGAGGCTCTGGAGGCGTTGGAGGTTCTGGAAGACCTGGAGGTGAATCCAGTGGAAGCCTGTGGCAGGGTGGTGATATCCGGGCACTGGAGCTGGAGGCCTGGAGGCGAGACCTGGAGGCCCGAAGTGTGGAATCAGACTCTGGAGGCCTGTGGCCAGGAGCTCTGGAGGTGTTGCAGGACCTGGAAGTGCCGGAAGCCCAGGAGGTGCTGGTGGTGGTGGAAGTGGTGGATATCCTGGAGGCTCTGGAGGCGTTGGAGGTTCTGGAGGCCCTGGAGAACCTGGAAGCCCTGGAGGATCTGGAAGCACTGGAGGCTCTGGAAGTGGTGGATATCCCGGGGGCACTGGAGGCCCTGGGAGTGTCGGAGGCCCAGGAAGTGTTGGTGGAAGTGGTGGATATCCTGGTGGCACTGGAGGCTCTGGAGGCGTTGGAGGTTCTGGAAGACCTGGAGGCCCTGGAAGTCCCGGAGGCCCTGGAAGCCTCGGAGGCCAGGGGAGTGGTGGATATCCTGGTGGCACTGGAGGCTCTGGAGACGTTGGAGGTTCTGGAGGACCTGGAAGCCCTGGAAGACCCGGAGGCCCTGGAAGCCTCGGAGGCCAGGGGAGTGGCGGATATCCTGGTGGCACTGGAGGCGTTGGAGGTTCTGGAGGCCCTGGAAGCCTCGGAGGCCTTGGAAGCCCTGGAGGCCCTGGAATCCCCGGAAGCTCTGGAAGTGGTGGATATCCCGGGGGCACTGGAGGCCCTGGCGGCGTAGGAGGCCCTGGAAGCTCTGGAAGTGTCGGAGGCCCAGGAGGTGTTGGTGGTGCTGGAAGTGGTGGATATCCCGGTGGCGGAGGAGGCCCTGGAAGCCCTGGAGGCCCTGGAAGTGTCGGAGGACCTGGCGGCGTTGGAGGCCCTGGAACTCCTGGAGGCGTGGGTGGCAGTGGACTAGGAGGAATCGGAGGACTAGGAGGTGTTGTAGGACCTGGAGGCGGTGGTGGCCATGGGAGTGTTGGAGGGCCAGGTGCAGGTGGATACCCTGGGAGCGTTGGAGGTCCAGGAGGTGTTGGAGGTCCTGGAAGTGTCGGAGGTGTTGGTGGCCCTGGAAGTGTCGGAGGTGTTGGTGGATCTGGAAGTGGGGGATACCCTGGAGGCGGTGGATACCCTGGAGGCGGTGGATATCCTGGAGGTGGTGGATACCCTGGAGGCGGTGGATACCCTGGAGGCGGTGGATACCCTGGAGGCAGTGGATACCCTGGAGGAGGCGGATACCCTGGAGGCGGCGGATATCCTGGAGGTGGCGGATACCCTGGCAGCGTAGGTGGAGCTGGAGTTGGAGGTCCTGGAGGGGCGGGAGGAACTGGTGGCGCTGGAAGCACTGGAAACATTCCAGACTCGGAAAGCAGTGGCGTCATTCCTGGAAACGTTGTTGTTGGAGGTGCTGGAACACCTGGAGTCATTCCAGGACCTGGATTACCTGGAGGAAGTGGAACATCTGGAGGTCCTGGATGGCCTGGAAGTACAGGATTGCCTGGAGGAGCTGGAATCCCTGGAGGTATAGGAATACCTGGAGGCACTGGCACTCCTGGAGGACCTGGCACGCCTGGAGGACCTGGCACGCCTGGAGGTCCTGGAACCCCCGGAGGCCCTGGAACGCCTGGTGGTCCTGGAGCACCTGGAGGCCCTGGAACGCCTGGAGGACCCGGAACACCTGGATTGCCTGGAGGTCTTGGAACGTCTGGAGTACCTGGAACGCCTGGAGGTCCTGGAACACCTGGAGGTCCTGGAACGCCTGTAGGGCCTGGCACGCCTGGAGGTCCTGGAACACCCGGAGGCCCTGGAACGCCTGGTGGTCCTGGAGCACCTGGAGGTCCTGGAACGCCTGGAGGACTTGGAACTCCTGGATTGCCTGGAGGTCTTGGAACGCCTGGAGTACCTGGAACACTTGGAGGTCCTGGAACACCTGGAGGTCCTGGAACGCCTGGTGGTCCTGGAAGCCCTGGAACGCCTGGTGGTCCTGGAAGCCCTGGAACGCCTGGTGGTCCTGGAGCACCTGGAGGTCCTGGAACGCCTGGAGGACCTGGAACATCTGGATTGCCTGGAGGTCTTGGAACGCCTGGAGTACCTGGAACGCCTGGAGGTCCTGGAACACCTGGAGGTCCTGGAACGTCTGTAGGACCTGGCACGCCTGGAGGTCCTGGAACACCCGGAGGCCCTGGAACGCCTGGTGGTCCTGGAGCACCTGGAGGTCCTGGAACGCCTGGAGGACCTGGAACTCCTGGATTGCCTGGAGGTCTTGGAACGCCTGGAGTACCTGGAACGCCTGGAGGTCCTGGAACACCTGGAGGTCCTGGAACGTCTTGGACCTGCACGCTGGAGGTCCTGGACACCGAGGCCCTGGAACGCCTGGTGGTCCTGGAGCACCTGGAGGTCCTGGAACGCCTGGAGGACCTGGAACTCCTGGATTACCTGGAGGTCTTGGAACGTCTGGAGTACCTGGAACACCTGGAGGTCCTGGAACACCTGGAGGTCCTGGAACGCCTGGTGGTTGGAACCTGAACGCCTGGTGGTCCTGGAAGCCCTGGAACGCTGGTGGTCCTGGAGAACCTGGAGGTCCTGGAACGCCTGGAGGACCTGGAACATCTGGATTGCCTGGAGGTCTTGGAACGCCTGGAGTACCTGGAACGCCTGGAGGTCCTGGAACACCTGGAGGTCCTGGAACGTCTGTAGGACCTGGCACGCCTGGAGGTCCTGGAACACCCGGAGGCCCTGGAACGCCTGGTGGTCCTGGAGCACCTGGAGGTCCTGGAGCGCCTGGAGGACCTGGAACGCCTGGATTGCCTGGAGGTCTTGGAACGCCTGGAGTACCTGGAACACCTGGAGGTCCTGGAACATCTGGAGGTCCTGGAACGCCTGGTGGTCCTGGAAGCCCTGGAACGCCTGGTGGTCCTGGAGCACCTGGAGGTCCTGGAACGCCTGGAGGACCTGGAACATCTGGATTGCCTGGAGGTCTTGGAACGCCTGGAGTACCTGGAACGCCTGGAGGACCTGTCACACCTGGAGGTCCTGGAACGCCTGTAGAACCTAGCACGCCTGGAGGTCCTGGAACACCTGGAGGCCCTGGAACGCCTGGAAGTCCTGGAGCACCTGGAGGTGTTGGAATACCTGGAAGTACAGGAACACCTGGAGGTCCTGGAATGCTTGGTGGTCCTGGAACGCCTGGAGGTCCTGGAACACCTGGAGGACCTGGTACGCCTGGAGGTCCTGGAACGCCTGGAAGTTCTGGAATGCCTGGAGGACCTGGAACACCTGGATTGCCTGGAGGTCTTGGGACACCTGGAATACCTGGAACGTCTGGAGGTCCTGGAACACCTGGAGGTCCTGGAGCTATCGGAGGCCTTGGAATTCCTGGAATTGCAGGAGTACCTGGAAGTACGGGAACACCTGGAGTGTCTGAAGGGCCTGGAACGCCTGGAAGTCCTGGAACACCTGGAGGACCTGGTACTCCTGGAGGTCCTGGAACGCCTGGAAGTCCTGGAACTCCTGGAGGACCCGGAACTGCTGGAGGCCTAGGAATTCCTGGAAGTGTAGGAATACCTGGAAGTACAGGAACACCTGGAGTGCCTGGAGGATCTGGAAGACCTGGTACGCCTGGAGGTCCTGGAACTCCTGGAGGTCCTGGAACTCCTGGAACTCCTGGACGACCTGGAACTACTGGAGACCTAGGAATTCCTGGAAGTATAGGACTACCTGGAAGTACAGGAACATCTGGAGGCCCTGGAACACCTGGAAGTCCTGGAACACCTGGAGGCCCTGGAACGCCTGGAAGTCCTGGAACGCCTGGAGGTGTTGGAATACCTGGAAGTACAGGAACATCTGGAGGCTCTGGAACGCCTGGTGGTCCTGGAACTGCTGGAGGTTCTGGGACGCCTGGAGGTCCTGGAACGCCTGGAAGACCTGGAACACCTGGATTGTCTGGAGGTCCTGGAACGCCTGGAGAACCTGGAACGCCTGGAGGACCTGGAACGCCAGGAGGTCCTGGAACGGCTGGAGGTACTGGAACGCCTGGAGGTACTGGAGCACCAGGAAGACCTGGAACACCTGGAGTGCCTGGAGGACCTGGAACGCCTGGAGGTCCTGGAACACCTGGAGGTCCTGGAACGCCTGGAGGATCTGGAATACCTGGAGGTGTAGGAGAACCTGGAAGCACAGGAACACCTGGAGTGCTTGGAGGTTCTGGAACGCCTGGAGGACCTGGAACGCCTGGAGGTGCAGGAGTACCTGGAAATGCAGGAGCACCTGGAGGTCCTGGAACGTCTGGTGGTCCTGGAACTCCTGGAGCGTCTGGAGGTGTAGGAATACCTGGTGGCACCGGAATTCCTGGAGTACCTGGTGGTCCTGGAACTCCAGGAGGCTCTGGAACTCCTGGAGGTCCTGGAACTCCTGAAGGTCCTGGAATTCCTGGAGGTCCTGGAACCCCTGGAGGCTCTGGTACTCCTGGAGGTCCAGGAGCTCCTGGTAGCACCGGGAATGTCCCTGGGTCAGTACCCAGTAGTGTCACTCCAGGAAATGTAGTTGTTGGACCCGACACGAATGGAACCACTGGAACGGATAGCCTGGCAGGTTCTGGAACACAAGTAAGTTCTGCAAGTGCTGGAGTGTCTGGAAGTGCTGAAAGCCCAGGAAGTGATGAAAGCTCAGGAAGTGCTGAAAGCCCAGGAAGTGCTGAAACCTCAGGAACCTCTGGAAGTGCTGGAACTTTAGGAACCCCTGGGACTCCTGGAGGTGCTGGAGTCCCTGGAAGTGCTGGAACACCTGGAAGTGCTGGATTCCCTGGAAGTGCTGGAACCCCTGGAGTTCCTGGAGTTGCAGGAACACCTGGAACCCCTGGAGCACCTGGAGGTGCTGGATTAGCTGGAAGTGCTGGAACCCCTGGAGTCCCTGGAGGTGCTGGAACACCTGGAACTCCTGGAGCACCTGGAGGTGCTGTATTAGCTGGAAGTGCTGGAACCCCTGGAGTTTCTGGAGTCCCTGGAGGTGTTGGAACACCTGGAGCACCTGGAAGTGCAGGAACACCTGGAACCCCTGGAGCGCCTGGAGGTGCTGGATTCCCTGGAGGTGCTGGAACCCTTGGAGGTCCTGGATTCCCTGGAAGTGCTGGAACCCCTGGAGGTCCTGGATTCCCTGGAAGTGCTGGAACCCCTGGAGTTGCTGGAAGTGTTGGAACCCCTGGAGTACCTGGAAGTGCTGGAACACCTGGAGGTGCTGGATTCCCTGGAAGTACTGGAACCCCTGGAGTTCCTGGAGTTCCTGGAGTTCCTGGAGTCCCTGGAGGTGCTGGAACACCTGGAGCATCTGGAAGTGCAGGAACACCTGGAACCCCTGGAGCGCCTGGAGGTGCTGGATTCCCTGGAAGTACTGGAACCCCTGGAGTTCCTGGAACTGCAGGAACACCTGGAACCCCTGGAGCACCTGGAGGTGCTGGATTCCCTGGAAGTGCTGGAACCCCTGGAGTTCCTGGAGCTGCAGGAACACCTGGAGGTGCTGGATTAGCTGGAAGTGCTGGAACACCTGGAGTCCCTGGAGGTGCTGGAACACCTGGAGTCCCTGGAGGTGCTGGAACACCTGGAGTACCTGGAAGTGCAGGAACACCTGGAACCCCTGGAGCACCTGGAGGTGCTGGATTCCCTGGAAGTGCTGGAACCCCTGGAGTTGCTGGAAGTGTTGGAACCCCTGGAGTACCTGGAGGTGCAGGAACACCTGGAACCCCTGGAGCATCTGGAAGTGCTGGATTCCCTGGAAGTGCTGGAACCCCTGGAGTTCCTGGAGGTCCTGGAGGAACGGGTGTTACCAGTGTTACTCCGCCACCCTTCGCTCTCTTGTGTTACCACGACAATAAGTACCGTCGCCACCCGCTCTACTGCAACAACTACTACTATTGCATCTGGGATGGCCTCAACTGGAACATCCCTATCTTTACTTGTCCGGCAAATCTTATCTTCGATGAGGAAACTCAGCAGTGTTCCTACTCTGGTAAGTCTCAAATTGGTCCTGTTTACTGTCAGTCGTGACTCTGACTTTTTTGGGTTATCCTAAGTTCTCTACACATATGCTGCTATGTATGATAATCTATGTAACTGTATTTGTGTATACCTGAATAAATTTACTTCCACATATCACTCTGCATTACAGCTTGACATGAAAATGTAACAAGATGCATGATAAATATTTTCGATTTTTTCCATTACAATAGAAATATTTACATTCAATAACTAACATATTTTGCTCTTACAGACGATACAACAAAATGTAGCGGGAACCTCGCCCAGTATCCGACACCCCAGGTTACGCCAGTACAGGGAACTGCTAGCACAGGCACCACAGGAACTGCGACTGCGGTGGCTACGTCAGTAGGGGGACCTGCGACTTCAGTGGCTACGTCAATAGAGGGAGTTGCGACTTCGGTGGCCACATCGGTAGAAGGAGTTGGGACTTCGGTGACCACATCTTCCTCCTCCGAGAGCACGCCCATCCAGAACACGACAGATTCACCTATCGAGGCGACCACAGAAGTCATAGTCCAGACTACAACAGAGAAAATTTGGGAGGTAGGTTTCATATAGAAAACGGATCACTTTCACAGTAAACTACAATATAACTGGTAACCTGGATTGCGCCAACCTCGCCGAGTGGTTAACACACTTGTCATGGGCTCAAGCCCCACCCGTTCCATGATTAAACTACAATATAAGTATATTTATTCCGCTCTTTTCACACTTTTTTTTCGGTATAGTTATTTGCATAATTTTTTCTCTCCTCAGACCCAATAAAAAAGTATAGAGATTAAATATTTCAAACTGTCAGTTTCATATTTGGCCCAAGAGGTTATTGCAAAATTGAATTTATTCATGAATAAAACATTGTCGGCTTTTTAACTGTTTTGTTTTACCACATGTATGGGTAATTTACCCATCATTCTTTTATTAAAGTATTTAATATTTTTACCTGTGCTATTGCCCTCCACAGCTGGATGAATCGAGCCAGTTCGACTGCCCAGCACCCGGCTATTATCCCTTCGAAGGAGACTGCGTTCGCTTTTACAGGTGCTTCGAGACGCTGAACGGCAAACTTAAAGGTGAGAAGGTTTTCTCGCTTTTGCAAATAGGAAATTTTTTGCTTATATTGTCAGTTCCAGAGAAGGTACAGACTGATAAATTAGACACATGTGCAACGCTTGGGTATCTTTATTGAGGAAACGTTTCGCCACACAGTGGCTTCATCAGTCCATACAAAGGGGAATGGTGAAGAACAGGAGGAGTTTGAGGTAATCAATCCCTCAGCCTTGAGTGGATTTAATCAGTTCATCAGTCTTGAAAAGAGTGTTGAATATGTGTCTAATTTATAGACTTGTGGGTTCTCTGAACCATTTATCTTCAAGGTACAGACTGTAGATTATTTTGATTGACGGTCACCGTCTCTAAGTAATATCGTAAGTAATAGCGCTCTCAGCTCACCTTTGAAAAATCGGATTTGATCCCTGCAGAAGTGGAAAAACGTTGAGCATGTTTCCCTACAACTTTACACCTAGCACAGTTTACAAGACGCATTCTGGGTAAGACCATCAAAGGACCCAACGAAAATAAGCCAGCAGTGACCTTCTTGGGTTATTCTGGGTTATTTGTTAATTGTTAATGATAATGCTCCTTGTTAATGATTTTATTATCATTAACAAGGAGTAAACCAGAAATAACCCAGGAAGGTCACTGCTGGCTTATTTTCATATATATATATATATATATATATATATATATATATATATATATATATATAATATATATATATATATATATATATATATATATATATATATATACATATTAACTGCAAACAATTCTTTTTACATTATCACTCGCTACCTTCTTGCAGGTCTCCGCTACAAGTGTCCAACAGGCTACGGCTACTCTGAAACGCTACAGAGATGTAAGTTGCAAGCAGATCTTCCGCCCTGCATGAAGAAGCTGCAAGCGGCCCACTTGCGCTTATCAGGAGCCATCCGTCTCACGATCGCCGATTTGAATCGCTTCTTCGGCGATGAGTAAGGAGCCCCACTCTCAAGATGGTCGACGCTTCACTGTGGAAGAACTTAACTTTTCTGTGATGCTCTGAATGCTAAATACTGCAGGAGGGAGGGTAGTCGCCAGCTAGGGGCTTGTGGGTGTAACTGATGGCATTATAAGGACATTTTTAGTGGCTCTCGTCACTACACTCACATGTTGCGCCTTTGGTATCAATAAGATATACAAAGGTGTTTTAGACTTTTTTATTAAAAAATAATTGGAAATAGGAGTTCGACGACGCCCTAAAGATGATCCACTCATTCCCATACTTGATGATCTCCTGGAGTTATTTTATATTCAGACACTTTGTGAATACACGTCCTCGTTCTTAGCGTAATTAACAAGCCTTCGTCTTTGGCACTGAGGTCCTACGTTGGTACCTGATTGTTTCGATTCAGATTTGTAAACAATTAAGACGTCATTCACAGTAAAAATATGTTGTCTGGCGTCCTATTTTCTGTAATAAACAGCAAGTATCAATCATTAAGTGCTTTGTATATATAGCTTTAAACATACATCTCCTCAGTTACTATTGTCCGGATTTACATATATTTGATCGTCAAACTTGCTGCTACCATACCATAACACTGGCACTTACGTTCCATGACCCTTCATAAGAAAGATAAATTGCGTTGAACGCTTATGCACATTACAGGGAAACATAGTGAAGCATTTATCTATGTCAGTGTTGTTGCAATACAGACCCTAGTGCTTGTCTCCCTCCCTTGTACATGGAGAGAAATTTACCTGCTGTTCACGACAGACCAGGAGGTGGATATTCTTGTATAGTGAATCTTCACTCCTAGTGCTCAAAGATTTGAAATAGAATCTATATTAGGATTTGCATTGTAACTCTTCATTTGTAACATTTTCTCGTTCAGATCTGCTCGAAACTGATTTAATACACTAACATGTATACGCTTTAAACAGGACGTCTCTACTAAAGTTTTATATAAAGATCTTATATACTAAGAGAAATGAGAAAATTGTATATCTTGTGGTTTGTAAACGGGAGAGTTTTACACAAAAACTGATAACTGGATTATAGGTGGTCTCGTTGCTTCAAAATGTCAACACAATCAGCACAACCAAAACACAACCGGCAGACTCACAATACAATCACAACACAACTACAACACAACGAGCACAAGCACAGTACAACCACAATAAGCAACCACAAAGATAAGCGCCACACTCTCAATGCCACACCCATCATACCAGCTACAATCACCACTATAACCAACACCACTACACCACACCCCATCAACCAACCAACACGCCCCCAACCACTTTCAAAAAGCAACAATAGCAACAACAAACATTAACCACGAGAATTAACCCATCGTTAGCCAGTCATCGGGTTCCTCCGAGAAGACAGAGGCCAGATCTCCGCCACAACCACACATATTCATCGCTAACTACACTACTACCTTATACATCCCTATGTTCCCAGTTATTGTAATTGTTGTTGCACAGTTTATCAGCCTGCCGTATTTTGTTCCTGTATTTCTTGTTCCTTCCTTCTGTCTCCTTCCTTATGTTTCTTCCCGTTTCTTATCTCTTCTTTGTCTGCAGTGTTGTCCGTTCATTCTGTAGCTCCTTCCTTCTGTATCACACATTCCTTTCGTGTCTCATGATCATTTCTCACCTTTCCTCACTCCTTTGATCTGCCTGACACTAGTTAGCTCAGTAACTTAAGGCATGAAGTGGGCATTTAGCGCATTTAATGTGTTCACTGCATCGGCATTATCGCTTGAGCATTCCTGGTCGGTCCTCGATTTTTCCTGTTAAATTTTTGTCTGTGATATTGGAAGATTAAACTTGAGTCGCAGTCTCAAACATCCTACATTTGCCAGATTTAACGAAACCATGTTCGTACTTTTCTTTCGTTTAATTAAATACGAAACTAAATTAAATTTGTCCAAAGATATACATTTTTTTATCAGAGAGACGAGAGGAACACTCGAGCTGAAGTAAACGTATGTGCCAAACAGTAATCTATTTTGCCTTTAATTCTGTTATTTATTTCTAATTTATTCTATTTAAATATGTATATATGATTTGTTGTGCTTGCCGCCCATTTACTGTTCAACGACAACGGTGCGTTAATTAGGAATAAAAGAATTCACAATTAGTGTATTTCGTTTTATTTAACCCACAATAAATAACAATATATACACTTGATCAATTAGACACATATTCAACACTTGGGTATCTTTATTGAGGAAACGTTTCGCCACACAGTGGCTTCATCAGTCCATACAGTGAAGAACAGGAGGAGTTTGAGGTAATCAGTCCCTCAGCCTTGAGTCGATGTGGTCAGTCCATCAATCTTGAATAGAATACAGAATATGTATTCATTTGCTGTATTCGGTTCTCTGAACCATTTATCTACATTCCTGTCTGACACAGCAACATCTTGGATCTTAAAACAGGGAATTCTTCACTTGCCTAACCCTCGGGGACGACCTACTTTCACATTGGTCAAATGTTATACCACCTACGACTGCTGCACCTCTCCTGCCTACAGTATGTAAGCCACTTCTTCGCACATATGCTGTATTCTTTTCAAGATTGATGGACTGACTGCATCGACTCAAGATTGAGGGACTGATTACCTCAAACTCCTGTTCTTCACTTTTCTCCTTTGTATGGACTGATGAAGCCACTGTGTGGCTAAACGTTTCCTCAATAAAGATACCCAAGTGTTGCACATGTGTCTAATTCATCAACTTGTCAGTTTTCTGAACCATTCTTCTATACTATATACACTTACACGTACGAACTCAGTTTAATTCGTAATAAGCGACTGTCAATGAATAAACAGAAAGGTGAACGGGAGGCTCAAACCTTTCTGTTTATTCACCGACAGTCTTTCATTACGAGTTAAACTGAGTTCATAGGCTGTGGGAAAGGACAGTTGGGTTACAGACAGTAGGCACTGACACAGACAGTAGCCACTGACACAGACAGTAGCCACAAACACAGACAGTAGCCACTGACACAGACAGTAGCCACTGACACAGACAGTAGCCACTGACACAGACAATAGCCACTGACACAGACAGTAGCCACTGACACAGACAGTAGCCACTGACACAGACAGTAGCCACTGACACAGACAATAGCCACTGACACAGACAGTAGCCACTGACACAGACAATAGCCACTGACAGACAGTAGCCACTGACACAGACAATAGCCACTGACACAGACAATAGCCACTGACACAGACAGCAGCCACTGACACAGACAATAGCCACTGACACAGACAATAGCCACTGACACAGACAGCAGCCACTAACACAGACAATAGCCACTGACACAGACAGTAGCCACTAACACAGACAGATCACAGCGGTGCCTTCCGTAAAATTTTCCTATTAGAAGCCCCGTAGTTCAGTGGTAAATCCCTGGACCTATTAATCTCGGAGCTATAAGACCCTTGTAGGTTTAGTGCTTATTTTTTATTATACTGATAATAATTAATCTCGAGGTTCCCGTCCACGTTTCTCTTTATTCACTTGCATATAAGTTAATTATCAATTACATTTGCGATAGAAAAAAGTGAATTGGCTCACATCTCATCTGATTTTGGTGAAAATTGATCTTGATGAAAGGCTCTTGGTCCAAGGAGTTGCAGCTGCCCTCCTTGCCTCGGATAAGTCCTGACTGCCTCCCATTACCCAAGAAAACAGTCAAAATAATCTCTGATATAAGAACATAAGAACATAAGAAAGAAGGAACACTGCAACGGGCCTACTGACCCACGCGGAGCAGGTCCATGTTTCCCCCGGATTAGACCAATGACCCACCCAGTCCGGTCATCCCCACTCAAGGATGGAGCATTGCATCAGACCCAGCAGCACAAGCTAGTCAGGTCCTACTCACACCCACCCACACCCACTCATGTATTTATCTAACCTAATTTTAAAACTAGACAACGCTTTAGCTTCAATAACTGTACTCGGGAGTTTGTTCCACTCATCCACAACTCTATTACCAAACCAGTGCTTTCCTATATCCTTCCTGAATCTGAATTTTTCCAACTTGAAACCATTCCTGCGAGTCCTGTCTTGGCTGGAAATTTTCAGCACGCTATTTACATCCCCTTTATTTATTCCTGTTTTCCATTTATACACCTCAATCATATCCCCCCTAATTCTACGTCTTTCTAGAGAGTGCAGATTCAGGGCCCTTAGTCTATCCTCATAGGAAAGGTTTCTGATACATGGGATCAACTTTGTCATCCTCCTTTGTACATTTTCCAGAGCATTTATATCCATTCTGTAATACGGTGACCAAAACTGTGCAGCATAATCTAAATGAGGCCTAACCAAGGATGTATAGAGTTGAAGAACAACCTGAGGACTCCTATTATTTATGCTTCTTGATATGAAGCCAAGGATTCTATTAGCTTTATTGCGAACACTTATGCACTGTTGTCTTGGTTTCAGATTACTGCTAACCAGAACTCCTAAATCTTTTTCGCAATCAGTAATATTAAGATCTACATTATTTAGTTTATATGTGGCATGGTTATTGTCCTGTCCAACATTTAGAACTTTGCATTTGTCTATATTAAACTGCATCTGCCACTTCTCCGACCACTGCATCAGTCTATTCAAATCTTCCTGGAGTGCTCTAATGTCCTCGTCAGAATGAATTCGACGGCCTATTTTGGTGTCATCGGCAAACTTGCTGATGTCGCTCTTTATGCCCTCATATATGTCGTTTATGTAGATTGTGAACAGCAGGGGGCCCAACACTGACCCCTGTGGAACACGCTCGTGACGCTTCCTCACTCTGATTTCTCCCATTTATGCAAACTCTCTGCTGCCTATTTGTCAACCATGCCTCTATCCAGGAAAAAATTTCTCCTCCTATTCCATGTGCCTTAATTTTCCTCAATAGTCTCTGATGTGGGACCCTGTCAAAAGCCTTACTGAAGTCTATATACACAATATCATATTCATTACCATGATCTACCTCCTCAAATACCTTAGTGAAAAAAGTTAATAAATTCGTAAGGTAGGAACGCCCCTTTGTAAAACCATGCTGAGATTCGTTGATTAATTTATGCTTTTCAAGGTGGCTACGAACTGCCTCGGCAATTATTGATTCCATAAATTTTCCCACTATGTAGGTTAGGCTTATTTGTCTATAGTTCGAAGCTAAGGACCTGTCACCTGCTTTGAAAATAGGTATCACATTTGCCATTTTCCACTTATCTGGCACCATGCCAGTTTGTAGTGATATGTTGAAAAGATTAGCCGAAGGTTTGCTAAGCTCCTCTTTACATTCCTTTAGAACCCTTGCATACAGTTCATCAGGGCCTGGGGATTTGTTAGGTTTTAATTTGTCTATTTGCCTAAGGACCATGTCACTTGTGACCCTAATTGTGCACAGTTTATTATCGTCCTGTTCTACATAATTTGTCATTTCTGGAATATCGCTGGTATCCTCCTGTGTAAAAACTGAGAGGAAGTATGTGTTAAAAATTCTACACATTTCCTTATCACTGTCAGTGAGCTGACCCGAGGAACTTTTGAGTGGCCTATCTTGTCCCTGATCTTACTTCTGTATACCTGAAAGAATCCTTTAGGTTAGTCTTCGATTCTCTTGCAACTTTAACCTCATAATCTCTTTTTGCTTTTCTAATTCCCTTTTTTATTTCTCTCTTTAACTGAATATATCGATTTCTTAATTGCCTCTCTCCTCTTTTGATTTGCCTATATATGCCTCTCTTTTGACCAATCAGATATTTTAATCTATTGTTCATTCATTTAGGATCATTTTTGTTTGATCTGATTTCCCTATTTGGGACATAATTTGACTGAGCAGCTAGAACTATGCCCTGGAAAGCGTCATATCGGCAACCATCACCACCTACCTGACCCTTAGTCAGGTCATTCCAGTTCAGCCCACCTAAGTAATTTTTCAGTCCTATGAAATCAGCCAAGCGAAAGTCAGGGACAGAGACTTGATTGCCATTATTAGGGGAATTCCATGATATATTAAAACTGAGTGATTTGTGATCATTTTCCCCAAGCTCATCATTAACCTCAAGATTATTAATTAGTGTTTCCTTACTGGCAAGAACCAAGTCAAGGAGGTTATTTCCCCTAGTTGGCTCTGTCACAAACTGTTTTAAAAAACAATTCTGGATCGTATCAAGAAAGTCACCTACTCTAAATTTCCTGTCAAATTGCTCCAGTCAATCTGTCTATAGTTGAAAACTCCCATTAGCACAACATTTTCGTATGTAGATGCCTTACGAATTTCGTCCCATAGAAGTTTACTGCACTCCCTATCAAGATTTGGGGTCCTGTAAATCACACCCAAAATTAGTTTTTCTAGGCCCTCGAGAAGCTGTAACCAAACAGATTCAGTGGCTGACGCTTCTAATTTTATATCTTGTCTAACACAACAATTTAAATTGTCTCTGACATACATCGCTACTCCACCACCCTTCCTGTTGACCCTGTCAGTGTGGAATAATTTATAGCCTTGTATGTGACATTCAGAGGGCATCTCTCTATCTTTCAGATTGAGCCAGGTCTCTGTTATAGCAATAATATCTATGTTTCCTGCACTTGCAATTAATCTTAGCTCATCTATCTTATTTCTTACACTCCTGCTATTAGTATAGTAAACTTTAAGGGAGCTATTCCCTTGCTGCCCTCTGCTGTCCCCCTTTGTTTGCTGACCTGATCTATTGTCTTTATTTATAACTTCATGCTGAATGCCTTTTATACATTTACTGTTTCCAACCCTAGTGTTGCAACCTGCTTGTTTCTCACACACACCCATACCTCTATCTTCTATCAGTTTAAAATCATAGGCATTTCACCAATGGCCTTCTCAATTGAGTTTGCAAGTGCTACCACCCCAGCCCCAGAGAGATGTACCCCATCCCTTGCATACATATCATGTTTGCCATAAAAGTTGTTCCAGTTGTCAATGAATGGGATTGTAAGTTCCTTGCAGTATCTGTCTAGCCAGCAATTTACACCAATTGCCCTAGACAGCCATTCATTTCCTACTCTCCTTCTAGGCAAGATGCTACATATGATTGGGACCCCTCCCTTAGACTTAATGAAATCTATAGCTGACCTGTACTTATCTAGCAGCTCTTCTCTCCTACCCTTCCCAATATCATTTCCACCAGCACTGAGACAGATAATGGGCTTGTTCCCATTACCTGACATGATATTATCCAGCCTGTTAACTATGTCCCCAACACCAGCTCCAGGGAAGCACACTCTATCTCTCATCTTCTTATTCCTATTACAAAAAGCACGGTCAATATATCTTACATGAGAGTCACCAACCACAAGAATTCGCTTACCTCTGTTAGCAGGGGCAGTAGTACCCTTACCTTCACTGGCCACTGAAGTACATTCATCCTGAAGAAGAGAGAAGCGATTTCCTACCTTCAGATCTTCACTCTTAACTTTCTTTATTCTGATTCTCCTCCCATTACTGGGAACCACTCGCCACTTGTAGCAGGTGCTGGACTGCACCTCACTGCTGGTAGCCGTTGCTACCTCCCCACCTACAGCCTCCTCACAGCTCGAGACAGACTGCACCTCACTGCTAGAAGCCTCATTCCCCACAACTCCAGCCACCTCACACTCTCTCCCAGACCCATTGAGGTGGAGCTTCAGCCTCCTACTCTCCTCCTGGAGAAGCAAGACCTCCTCCTTCAACTCTCCAACCTCAATTTTTAAAACACTGCAGAAGCAAGCCATGCTTTGTAACCGTCCACGCTAATCCCCAAAGCAGCTCAGGGTCTGTGACCTCACGTGACGACTGACCACTGAGTTCCACTCTTATTTATTATTACATTGCGTTGGGCTTTTAATTAATTTTACTTACGTTTTGACTTACGATTTTACTTACGATTTGACTTAGGTATTTTAACGTGATCTTTGTCCTCACCATTTCTTTTGGAAGCCTTCTGCCTATCTTGTGAGTGACTACTGTCCTGGTTTGTAATTTTTTTTCTCTTTAAGCATCCGTGGTGTTCGAACTGGGTCACTCGACACTAGCGAGACAAGACGGGCAGCGGGATCTAGACAACAGATCCGAAACTCAACCTTGTCTTATACAGAACACTCCAGTGTGCCATTTCACTTTTGTAGTAGATCTAGGGCCATTCACAGCCCTGAAGCAAAATCTGTAACGCCGCCAACAGTTCACTGAGGAACAGTAGCATCTGGACTACCGTCTCGCTCCGGCTTCTAGTTTCAAAAACCCAAGTGAATCCTGAGCTACTTAGCACCAACATCGGCAACTCGGAATACCACCTGTCAGTTGTATATATTAACTTTGGTTCACGAGAATTATATATTTTATTTAAAATTTATTTGCTTCAGCGAGGAACACTTCATGTTTGTTTTACACTGTAAGAAATTTTTGCTTATCAATAAAATTATCTTATGCTGTTATAATTTATTCTATATTTTCTCTTTTCAGACCCTTTGAGGGTCTAAAAGGGTCTTTATACCTCCAAAATGGTGGTGTTCCTCGCTCTTACTCTTTTTGCAATTACTAACAAGAGCCTTCTCTTCCTTGGATGTCATTTCTCTTCTTCCCAGTGTATGACGGTCATCCAGCAGCAGCCTACATATGAAGGGAATCGGAAGTCATTCATGAGTCATCGCAGGAATAATATCCCAGTGTCTTCAACAGTAATAAGAGATATCAACTAAGAGCCCAAAATAAATCCCAGCTTTTTGCAAAGATTGACCAACGATTAAGATTCATACTCGCAAGCAAATAAGTTGATAAATTAGACACATTTGCAACACAATCTTGCTGTGGAAACATTTCGCCACACAGCGGCTTCATCAGCCCTATAGAGAAGATTTTCACTTTTCTTTGTATTGGACTGGGGAAGCCACACTGTGGAGAAACCTTACCTCAGTAAAGATACCCAAGTGTTGCACATGTGTCTAATTTATCAACTTGTCGGTTCGCTGAAGCATTTCTCTAAAAGCAGCAGCCTACATTTGAAGGGAATCGGAAGTCATTCATGAGTCATCGCAGGGATAATATCCCAGCATCTTCAACAATAATGAGAGATATCAACTAAGAGGCCAAAATCAATCCCAGTTTTTTGAAAATGGTTTCAAGTTAGAAAAATTCAGATTCAGGAAGGATATAGGAAAGCACTAGTTTGGTAATGGAGTTGTGGATGAGCGGAACAAACTCCCCATTACAGTTATAGAGGCTATAAAGTTGTGTAGTTTTAAAAATAGGTTAGATAAATACATGAGTGGGTGTGAGTTGGACCTGACTAGCTTGTACTACTAGGTCTGATTCCGTGCTTCTTCCTTAAGTGGAAGTGACTTGACTAGGTGGGTCATTGGGCTAATTGGGGAGGGGGGTAACATGGACCTGCGTCGCATGGGTCAGTAAGCCTGTTACAGTGTTCCTTCTTTCTTATGTTCCTCTTCTTATGTTCTTTAGACTTTATGTATATAGCATTCAGTTTTTTTAGTGGTTTTCAAGGTCCACAAATTACTAAAATACAAAAAGTCAGTGTTTATTTCTGAAGAGACATTCTCCAGTTATTTCACAGTAACCAAATTAATAAAATTGACACATTAAAACTTGCACAATCTAGAAATAAGCAAAGCTTCCTTCGAGAAAAATTCTCCGGCACAAAAAAATTTGAAGCCGATCATAAGATACATTCTCCAGTTAATGCACATGAAAGCCTCCACATGCTCATCCTAAATCGAAAAATAGCGATTGATGCTGCTCAATGAGGGATTTTCGCAAAACTCATGGGGGTCTTAGAGTTCATATATTTTTTATTTAATAATTGACTTACGTGTTACGACTTTCTCAGTTTTTGAAAATCAATGGGATGGTTATATTGCCAACATAACAGCAATATAAATACAGCATTAAAAGTGTTTATTCCTGTAAGAGATTTTAGCCACGTCAGTTATTTAAAAAAATTGTAACAAGCAAATTAATGTTTGAAAGCAATATAAAAGAATCAAACCTTATAAAAAATAGTGTTGATTAAAATTTGAATGAAAGTCCAGGACTGCATAAACTAGGTTCATTCGTAACATTTAAAATTTCTGAAGATTATAAGCTGTTGACAAATGCACTTTACCCAACACATCACTCTTAATCTGACTCAAAAACTGTAGAAAATCTCTACATATCACTCTTAATCGGGCTATAAATTTCAAAACAGTGGAAATGTGTTTCCCACGCTCAGTACGTGAGATAACGGACAACCCATTGATTGTATGTGTAAGGTTACGTCTGTTATATAAAACTTCTGCTACTTTGTTTTAGTTTTGCTGTGTCTTCATATTGTGAGAGACCAAGAATACTCTTGAAATAATATTAATTTTCACTGTAGTTAAGTTGCCTGTTAACATTACCTGTTTCTTGTGATCTATATAAAAATGGCTGACTGGTGATTAACTGGTCGTGTAAAAATTGAAGGTGACATATTCCCTTCAGTCTTGAGGACACGTATGACAGGACCCACGAGGCTAGGAGTGATTGAAGCCTTTCAATGATATTTAAGAGGCTGAAACAAGAGCATAGCACTGCCTCCTAGACCACAATGTGTTCAGCACACGTGTGTTGCTAGTTCTGGACTAGATAAACACGTTCCCCAGCTCCCCGTGAGAAGGTAGAGGGCACGATGGGCACAATCTTCTGCGTCTCATTGGGCAGAAAGGGAATGAAGTCCCAGTAAACTTCCACGTCGAAGAACCGGTCGAGGTTCTCAGCTTCGATGGCACCAACTGGCAGGATCTCGTAAGTCTGGATCCCGGTGTCAGCCACCTTTTGGCATATCTCAAAAAGTTCTTGCTTCTGGCAGCGTTTAGAGACGTCATTGAAGAGGTACCCAGACGGACATCGGTAAAGGAACCCTGCACAAAGCGCAACACAGTATTAAAACAAGAACAGCCGAAGAATTTCAGTGCTCTTCGCATCCTAGCTCATGGAAATGAAAATGAAAATTTATTCACTTAAGGAGAACAGACAGTTAAGCTTATTTGAGAATGGTCAAAACATTTACCAATATAAGAAGTAAACAATAAAAAAAATACATTCAACATTAAAATAGTACAACAATGATATAATAGAATATCTGGCGAGTAGCAGTTTCTAAAGATACTTGCCCCCTCCCCCCTCGAAGCTGATTCACCTTCCTGAGAAATGGTAATTCACATGTTAAATCTATTTCCTCTCTGCTTTAGGTAAAATTCTCAAGTTATCATGGTCGTGGAACCCATAGCGGAATATTTGCGGTATCTTCATTGACTTGCAGAAGTCTCCCGGTCCAAGCTGGTAGATTTCATTGGCTAAAATACTGAATCTATCCCGTGTTATGGAATATTACACAAAAATATATCTAGCTTCCACCATAGCTAGTTCTCGCTACGTCATTATCATACAGTGTAAGATAAGAACACGCTGTTCACGTACCTAGTTTTTGTTTAATAAATTACTTTACGTGGCGAGGGAAGAGTCCGTGTAATGTTCTTGTTTGATCATTTTAAGCACAATCTATAGTTGAACAGCCAAGTATTACCTCTGGCTTAAACGGCGAGAATATTTTCATACTTCAATTTCTCTGTGCTATAAGAAATGTCCTTCAAAGGCTATCCTTCAATAATACCGCTAATACTACAACTACTACATTACTAATGTAACCACTGCTACAATAACCAGTACTACTATTATTACTGATATTATTTCTACAACTGGTGCTACCACAGCATAACTCAAGCTCCTTGTATCTCAATTCACGAGGCCGGAATAGATTGAATAGTTAAAAACATAAGAGAAGAGAAATTAGACAGGGAAGTGCAGGTCCCGAAACTCTCTCCAGGTAAACTCCAGGTATACCTGGAGAGACTCTTACCTTATCTTCCCTTCTTGCAGACGGTCCTGCCTTTGACCTACGATCACATTTTGACTTTTTGTCAGCAACTGCTTTACTATACGAACCTTGACACATAGCTCCTAGAGCCTCTTACAGCCCTTCTCTCCCCTCACCTCTGATCCCCTCTGCATCTTGCTGCTTATAGCCCTGGTACTATTTTCTACCTGGCAACACTGCATGACCCTTGTCATTTTAGCGCTTTATTCGATTATAATAATATACCTGGAGAGGGTTTCGGGGGTCAATAGCCCCTCAGCCTGGTCTGAGACCATGGTGGATCAGGGCCTGATCAACCAGACTGTTACTGCTGGCCACAGGTAAACCGAACCACAGCCCGGCTGATCAGGGACTGACTTCACGTGCATACTTCTTTGGTATAAGGGAAATAAAAGAGAGTGTAAGAATTATAAGAGAATAAGCCTGTTGAATATTTCGGTTAAAGTGTATGGTAGTTATCAATGGAAGAATTATTGGCAAAACAGAGAACAGGATTGCGCAGGAACGATGAGGTTTTAAGAACGGTGGGGAATGTGTCGATTAATTGTTCACATTAAAGCACATATGTGAATAATACTTAGATAAAGGCAAGGAATAATTTTTTTTTTTTTTTGCGTTTATAGATTTAGACTGAGGAGTCACTTTTTTTCGGGAACGTTAGGAACAACACTGCTGAGGATATTGGAAGCTTTCCCATCCATGCCAGTGTACTATGTACTGGCACCTACAACTCTGATTATCGAATGCTCTAACCGGCTCCTACAACTCTAACTGTAGGACACCTCCACATGCCAAATTGTTCCTAGAATTTTGCCCAAGATTTCGTACACCAGCGTTGAAAAGCTGAAACCAACTGCACGAAACCTTATGTTATGAGCAGAATAAAAACGATAAGTTAGAAGGGATTTTTTTTCAAATTTGGCGCCACTTAAAGGTACCCCATAATAAATACTTAACAATATTTATAATAATAATAATAATAATAATAATAACAATAATAATAATAATAATAATAATAATAATAATAATAATAATAATAATAATAATAATAATAATAATGATAATAAACACTAAGCGTTCATCTAGAGGGTGAAGGCCTTACCCTTGATGATACAGTTCATAGTAACAATACATCTGTAGAAGCTGACACAGTCTCGGTGTGACTGGAAGTATCCTGGTTCCAGACAGTCGTACACACTGCTGGGGTCCAGCTGCAACAACGGTAGAGAGATATATTACGACAGTCGAATTACTTTTTCCCTTCCTCCTCTCTCTCATCTGTCTCCTGTGTATAATTTATTTTGCCTTCTATGCATAATAATAATAATGACAATAATAATTATTTCTACAAGTACATGATACAACTTATGCAGGTCTAGCTGACATCAATGACATATATAAAATACAGAGCATTTCGGGCAAATTAGGTTAATTTTGTTCCCACGATGCTACCCACACCAGTCGGTTAACACCCAGGTACCTGTTTATTGCTAGGTGAACAGGGACGCCATGGGACAGGTATTAGTGGCTCCAGCAATGCTGGAACGAAGCCTTAAAAGCTGCCGTAGCTGATGAACCCTTAGTGGAATACTCTGTCATTGACCTACTGAAGTCTCCCAGCTTTGGCAGACAGATATCAACACTTTTTTTAATGATCTCCATCCTTCGTGATGGAATATAATTGGAAGAAAACAGTTAGCTCTTGGTCCCGTGTAATTATCATATAGAATCTGGAAGCAGCACACTGCTGGTTTATCCAATTTTGATAAATTAATGAGAGAACTTTCCGGCCAAAATTCTGAAGCTTCCTCACCCTTGACTGCTCTCTTCCAAGTAAAGAATTATTACTGATAATGGGGTGGTATTTACCCATGTCAATGCTCAAGTAATAGCTGGTAGGGTGGGGCGTCGAGAACTAAGGCATTACCAGGTAGGGTGTTCAAAAATATGGTGGGGTAGTACCTGGTAGGGCGGACAGGATTGCGGTGGCTGTGGTGGTGGTGGTGGTATTGGTCTGGTTGTGGGTCCCTCTGTCTCACACTTAGAATCCGTTGCGTGTATACAGGCTGAGAGCTCACTGCTAAACACTGTTCCTGGAGCACATTCGAACGCTACTCGTCTCGTTGCCTGCGCTAGGCTCCAAACACACCTATAGAGAAGACGAGCAGAGTTCACTGACAACTGAATGGCTCACGAAATCGTAATAACACGATTGCAAACGAGTCACTTATGCAGTATTTGGGTATCTTCAATCTGGAAACGTTTCGCCAGCTAGTGGCTCCTTCAGTAGTATTTAGTCACTTAGCCATAATACCAACTCACCTCATAATTTTGTAATATTTTAAACTTAAGATTTGATTTAAGTCTGCCCGAAATGCCTAGCCATGCTAGGTGTTCTAGTGGTACACTCTGTAATTATTATTTTACTACATGTAAACCACACAATAACCAAATTCTGTAAACTCAGCATTGTAATCCTTATAGAGAATAAGCTTTGAATTGAACTGAATTGAATTGAATTCAGTCCAATGCAGAGAGAGGTGGAAGATGAACAGGAGTTTTAGATAATCTGTCCCTCAGCCTGGAGTCCAGGCTGAAGGACTGATTACCTCAAATTTCTCTTCCACTTTTATCTGCATTGGACCGAAGACGCCACTTGCTAACGAAACGTTTCCGGAATAAAGATACCCAAATGTTGCACAGTATCTCAGTAAATCAGCATATCGGCTTTCTAAACTGTTTATTCACACGATTGTAAACAATCACAAAACAGGTGAAGGATTAAACCCAGGGCAGGTGAGTCCTAACACTCATAAGTAAGTAAGTAAGTAAGTTTATTCAGGTATACACAAATACAGTTACATAGAATTATCATACATAGCAGCATGTGTGTAGAGAACCTAGGATAACCCAAAAAAGTCAGACAGAGTGACTTATTTCCATTGGGGTCCATAGGCCAGTGTGTTAACGCACTGGCCTGTGAGTGTGAGGATTCACCTGCCAAGAATTCAAGCCCCATCCGTTCCCTGATTTATTTACGGATTTCCAGGCTGCCCAGGTAACATACGCACCTGTCCTGCAGCTGTTCTGGGGAATTAGTGTGGAGTGTTATAGAGCGCCACGGCTTGCTTTTGAAATGTTTTAGTCAGTGCTCAAGGTGTTGAAAAAGGAGGCTCTACTTCTCAAGGAGGGAAAATATAACACTTGCATAAGTATAACAATGAATATGGTTGGGGTTAGTGAAGGGTAACAGGCTGTTAGCAGTGAGGAATAGGTTGACAGCAGTATCAAATGTTGAAAGTGATTTCGAGTAAAGGGGCAGATTTGAATGTAGGAAATTGTTTTACTGTTCATCGGAACGATTGTACTTCATTGGTCAGTGAGGTTAAACGTTCTGTTAATTCCTCTGCTAATAAATGTAAGAACATCTTTGTGGTTGGCTACTCACAGGTTAAATATATGGATCGTGCCTTCATTAATAGGGATAGGAAGGGGAGACAAAGGGTGTGTTTTCCTGGAGCTGGTGTTCATGACATAGTTAACAGGATGGATTATATCATGTCAGGTAATAGTAACAAGCTCGTTATCTGCCTCAGTGCTGGTGGAAATGATACTGTGAAGGGTAAGAGATAGGAGCTGCTTGTTAAATATAGGACAGCTATAGATAAAATTAGGGCTAAGGTAGGGATTCCGATCATACATAGCATCTTGCCTAGTAGAAGAGTGGGGTACATGTCTCAGGGCAGGAGTGGAAGTGTTAGCCAACTCTGTCGGGGGAGGATTGGGGGTCTTTGCTGAGTTGACTAGAACTTTAAACTGATAGAAGATAGAGGAATGGTTGTGTATAGGAAAAATAAATTGCAGCACTAGAGATGAAAGCAGCAAAAAATGCCAAGATACCTCAAGGAAAATGTTAAACGGACACGATTGTTCATCATATAGTTACTAATGAAGACAAAAGAACTGGTTATTAAACAGAGACAGAAAACAGCGAGTGGCTAACACCATTAAGGTCAACTATACTAATAGCAGGAGTGCTCGATATAAGATAGATGAACTAAGATTAATTGCATGCATGTGCAGTAAACATAGATATTACTGCTATAACAGACATCTAATGAAGATTTCGTTAGGATTTTTAACCTCGGAGGGTTAGCCACCCAGGATAACCAGGATAAAGGCAGTGCGTCATCGAGGAACTATGTCTTATTTCCATTGGGGTCCTCAATCTTGTCCCCCAGGATGCTACCCACACCAGTCGACTAACACCCAAGTGCCTACTTGCTAGGTGAACAGGACAACAGCAGTAAAGAAATGCCTCAAATGTTTCCACCCCTGCTGGGAATCGAACCCGGACGCGGACCCCTCAGCGTGTGAAGCGTGTGAAGCGAGAGCTTTGCCAGCCAGGTCATGGGGCCTTGTACATATACATAAAAGGTTATAAATTATTCCGCACCGACAGAGTCAACAGGAAGGGTGGTGGAGTGGCGACGTATGTCAAAGATAATTTAAACCATTTCATTAGGCGAATTATGAAGTGGAAGCGACGGTCACTGAATCTGTTTGGCTACAGTTTCTCCAGCGACGTGAAAAACTAATCCTGAGTGTGATCAACAGATCCCAAACGTAGACAAGGTACGCTAAACCTCTTCAGAACGAAGAGGTTTACCATACCATTAAAACAATAGCTAAAACAATATTTTCGGGACAAAATTATTGTTTTTAAGAAATATTTTAACTTCGGCCAAATTAACTGGGGCAATTTGACGGGAAATCTTGGAGTCCAGCGAATTCTTAGATACGATCCAGGATTATTTTTTTTTTTAATATGTTTATTTAGGTACAGGTCGCCATAAATACAATTATCACACATAGTAACACATGTGCAAATTACTTATTATAACCCCAAAAAAGTCAGATGAGCGTAGAGAAGGCGATCACAAAATATTCATGTAGAAAATTTTGCTTGATGAAAAACGCCTCACAACACACCTCATGGAATGTAAGAGTTATACATAAGAAAAGACCGAATAATATAAGTTCTTCTTGAGATGATAAGAGATAGAAAACAGATTTTATGGTTAACTAAAATTTTCACTGCCTTTTGTGTTGGTAAGGTTAGAACAACATATAGTTCAATTCAATTCATTTCAAGTTTATTCTCTATAAGGGTTACAATGTGGGGTTTACAGGTTTTGGGTATTGTGTAGTTTACATGTTATAAAATACTAATTACAGAGGACACCTAGGACACCTAGCCTGGCTAGGCATTTCGAGCAGACTTAGATTAATTCTTAACATTAAATCCTTACAGATTATGGTATTAAGGCTAAGTGACTACATCATAATTTGTGAGTTTAGCAATGTGAATGCTTTTGTTTTGTTACAATACAAAGTGTCTATATTGGAGTATCATAGGCAAACTTATGACTAGTTAGGATTTATTATTTTAAGATTAAGATTAGTATTTCTGGGTTTATAGTCAGTGGGTGAGTGAATGTAATTGTGAGCCACCAGGTGGTTATCATGTAGTTAGTTGTCGGGGTGGATCAGGGAGATAAGATGTTTTCAACTGTAGTTTGAAAGTAATGAATGTGTCTGCAGTTCTAGAGTTTTCAGGTAGGGTGTTCCAGATTTTAGGTCCTTTGAAATACATTGAAATATTTTGTAAAGGTTTAGTCGAACACGGGAATGTCATAGAGATGTTTGTTGTCTGGTGTTATGCCTGTGGATCCTGTCACAACTATCAAGAAACCGTTTTAGGTCAAGGTTAATATTGGAATTTAAGGTCCTGTAGATATAGATTGCACAGTAGTAAGTGTGGATGTTCTGAACAGGGAGTAAGTTTAGATTTATGAAGAGTGGGGGGGGAGGTGTTGCCAGGGATGGGATTTAGTGATTATTCTTACTGCGGCTTTTTGTTGGGTTATTATTGGCTTTAGGTGTGTTGCTGCAGTTGAACCCAAAGCACAGATAGCATAGGTGAGGTATGGATATATAAGTGAATGGTATAGTGTGAGAAGGGCAGTTTGCGGCACGTAGTATCGTATCTTGGAGAGGATCCCCACCGTTTTGGATACTTTTTTGTTATGTGTTGGATATGGGTGCTGAAATTTAGGTTGTTGTCGAGGTATAGGCCAAGGAATTGCCTCATTATGTCTGGCAATTAGAGTGTTGTCGATCTTAATGTTAAGTTGCGCAACACCTGCTCTGCTGCCAAACATAATATAGTAGGTTTTGCCAGTGTTAAGTGTAAGTTTATTGGCTGTCATCCAAGTCGATATTTTGAGCAGCTCCTCGTTAACAATGGTGTTGAGGGTGACAAGATTAGGGTGGGAGATGACATAAGTCGTGTCGTCAGCAAAGGTTTCAGGTGTTGGGATATGTTTGGAAGATCATTGATGTAAATGAGGAAGAGCAGGGGTCCAAGGACACTTCCCTGCGGAACTCCAGTATCAAGTGGCCGTATTGATGAGGCTGTGTCTTTAATGGTGACAATACTGATACCTATTAGAAGGTAGGATTTAAAATATGCAAGCGCATGGCCTCTTATACCATAGTGGTCAAGTTTGTGGAGTAGGATGCCGTGGTCTACTGTGTCAAACGCTTTTCTTAGGTCAATAAAAATTCCTAGCGGATATTCCTTATTTTCCAATGCTGTGTAAAGCAGGTCTAGCATTTTTATAATTGCATCATTAGTGCTTTTATTTTTCCTGAATCCAAATTGGCAGGGGATGAGTATGTTTTGTGACGTTATAAATGAATATAGTCTTCTGTGCACGAGTTTCTCGAAGATTTTGGATAGAATGGTAAGTTTGATATTGGCCTATAGTTGTTTACGTCTGTATGGTCACCACCTTTATGTATTGGTGTAACCCTTGCTGTCTTGAGTAGTGTCGGGAAAGTGCTAATTTCTAGTGACTTGTTAAAAAGTAATGTAATAGCATGCGAAAGGACATGGGCCGCTCGCTTGTACAGTAATGGTGGGACGTGAGACTAAGTGGCTTTATGATCGCGGTGACTTCCGTGGGCTCAGTTGGTACAAGATAGAAGGAATTTGGGAAATTCCCATCTAGGTAGTCCCCGGTACGTGGGATTTTACTGGCGAGATTAGATCCTATGTTTGAGAAAATGTCGTTTATCTTGTTAGCTGTATCAGTGGGATGCAGTGGTGTTTCATGAGATTTAGTTAGAACAATATTCTTGTTTTTTTTTTCAGTTTGTGGGTCTCTAGAATCTGGGAAAGTGTTTTCCAGGTCTTCTTTATATCTCCTCTTGTGTCAGTGAATCTGCTGGAGTAGTATAGTTGTTTGGCTTTCTTTATTAATTTGGTGAGAACTGTTGAATATTGTTTAAGAATATCTTTGTGTATTAAGCCCTGTCTATATTGCTTTTCATATTGGTGTTTCTTATCAATGGATTTCAGAATGCTGCTGGTTAGCCATGGGCAACCAAGCCGTTTATTCGTGATCTGTTTCGTTTTTATAGGACAATGTTTGTTGTATAATCTAAGTATTTTGTTAAGAAAAATGTTTGTCCAGTCGTCAATACCACTGGCATTGGAGAATTCTGTAGGCCAGTCAACAGTCTCTAGGTCTGTTGTGAAATTCCTTATTGAAGCCTCGTCATGGAGTCTAAATGAAACTTTGTTGTATTCGAGTGGTGGCTTACTAATGTTTGTTAAGAGGAAGGTTGGGTTGTGGTCAGTAGTGCTGTCTGTGATTATCCGTGATTTAAGGGGGGCTAGTATATTGGTCCATATGTGGTCTATTATGGTTGCACTTGTCTCAGTCAGCCTGGTTGGTTTAGTTATTGTTGGTATGAGAAGTGTGTTGTTCATATTGTTGATGAAATCAGTTACAGTCTGATCATCTGGTAGGCCAAGGTTGATATTGAAGTCTCCGGTTAAGAGAAGGTGGTGCTTGTTCATTTGTCTGTCTGTTATTAGTGACTTAGATTCTCACTAAAGTTTGGGATGTTTGTGTGGGGTATCCGGTATATGGCACCGATTGTTATAGGCGTCTTGAGGTTTTTTACAGTAAAATTAGCAAAAATGTATTCCCCATATTCATCACTAAAGCAATTAGTGCTAATACAAGATAGTTGGTTAGAGTAATAGACTGTAGTACCACCCCAACTTGGTATGGTCTGCAGTTGTGGATTGCTGTGTATCCTGGTAGAGGGTAGATATCTATTGCGTCCTGCTTAAGCCAGGTCTCAGTAAGAATAATGCAGGAGAAGGGTGTCTTTAGTGATTCAAGGAGTGCCAGGAGGTCATCATAGTGTTTGCTTAAAAGGACCTGACGTTGTAGTTAAGAACTGATAGACTTTGAGCAGTGTTCAGGATAGTGCTGGCTTGTGATGCTGTGTAATAAAGGCAGTTACTTTCCAATAAGTTTTGATTGTTTGTTAGATTATGGAGGTTTAGATCAGGGTCAACGTGATCATTCATCTTTTAGGTTTAAATAGTGGTTGTTTATATCCTGTATTATGTGGTGAGTTCTAATACTGATTTCTGTAGTGGTGGGAGGTTTGGATAAGTATACCGCTAAAGCACTTTGGTCATATAGAGTAGTCACTAATAAACATAATGAAATTGATATTGTCAATGTGTTGTGCTAGAATGAGCTAAAGTACAACTAGGTATAGTTAGTTTAGGTGTTGTCTAAGTACTGAGCTAGTTGCTGTACTTACTTGTAAAACGAGCTGCAGGTGGGTCCAGGCATTAAGTCTCCAGGAGCACAATGTATTGGGTAGCTTCCAGCGTCGACGGTGCTGGAAGGCGGCGGTGCTGGTGGTAAACGAGCTGCGAGATACAGAAATATGACGTACGAAAACCTATTGTTCTGTGAAACTGATGTTACAAAGTCAGCCTCGACAGAGAAGCATTAATAGCAAAAAAAACAAAATTGGAAATGTTGTCTCACGACAGACACGGAAAAGTATCATATAAATTATTGACAAAACTACTGCAGAGTGAATAAGTAAGTTTATTCAGGTGCTTGTACACATAAATATAGTTACATAAATTATCATACATAGCAGCATGTGTGTAGATTACCTAGGGAAAATCAAAAAAATTTAGACGAAGTGACTTATTTTCATTGGGAAAGTGAGGTTAGTTACCGAGACAATTGAGATATGCCAAAAGTGGCCGGTTTTTCAATATCCATTGAAAGAGGCCTCCTGTAATTTCTACAAAAACAGTACATTGGAAATTAAGTCGTTTTGTATGAATTTTGCGTTATCCTAGGTAATTTACGCTATATATGATAAATGTACTTACATGTATCTGTGTATAAATCAACTCAATCCTACATAACATGGAATTGGATCCATTATTTTTTATTAAAAAAATTACCAGCAGCAGATTTAAAGCGATTTAAACCCCACCAGAAACGACACGAATCTGGAGAAATATTTATTGTAATGAGATTGAATGCCTGCTAAGTGACAGTGTACAGGATTGAGACTTAAAGACGGATTTAGGATAACGTAATTAAAAATACACATGACTAGATAAGTATCCATTTAATTTGTTTTGATAAGGTAAGATAAGATTTCGTTCGGATTTTTAACCCCGGAGGGTTAGCCACCCAGGATATCCCAAGAAAGTCAGTGTGTCACAGAGGACTGTCTAACTTATTTCCACTGGGGTCCTCAATCTTGTCCCCCAGGATGCGACCCACACCAGTCGACTAACACCCAGGTACCTACTTGCTGTTTGGTGAACAGGACAACAGGTGTAAGGAAACACGTTGAAATGTTTCTACCCCGCCGGGAAACGAACCCGGGACCTCCATGTGTGAAGCGAGAGCCTTGCCAGCCAGGCCACGGGGCCTTCTATAATGTATAACAAGACTGTAGCCAAATATTTTCATAATAACATGGTATTTCCTGTATTAAATACACTCAATAAGCAAAAATGATAAGTCTCACTGAACGTGTGGGTATGAATCAACAGCGAGTTATAGGAAGGGACCCAACTCTTACAATCTAAAATAAATTCCACACTACAGACTACACGTACAATCTAGTCAGGCTGTCTGGTACAGGAAACCTGTGGCCTATGGAGGTTTCTTTAACTAAGGGTAAGTCGGTGTACCTATCTTCATTATCTCTCTCTCTACGAGAACGGTTTAGCTGCCACTCTTATAATTTAGAGATAGATATAAATTATATTTAGTTAAATCTTCCACTTACTGACTGTCCAGGACGCTGACCAGTTACTTACGATTCTGAGCGAGAGAAACGGTTGTGCAGGGAAGAAAAACTAGAAGCTTCAGCAACATCTGCAATGATTAATTATCAGTTTTAATGACAGTTATGAGTCGTATTCCAACATATATTTACAGTTGGATTTACGTATAAGTAAGATTCAACTTAATTAGGGAAAAATCATAATAAGAAAACGGTCGTGTCTGTCTCGCGAGGCCGGGTCTCAGACCGGGCTGCGGGGGCGTTGACCCCGAAACCCTCTCTAGGTATGAGTGTTCAGTGGATCATGGTTCCACTATTCCTTGAACTAAATTAGCCTCACAAGTCAAAGCTTTCACGTAAATATATACAGCTTAGCACCTCACAGTGTGAGGGGACTCGCTTCTCATTAAGAAAAAATTCTACGTTGGAAGACGAGCTTCCAGCCTATAACATTTTATGCACTAAATGTGATAATTGTCATTATTCCTCACTGTAACACAGTGATTTGGTATTTCAAAAACATTACGGAGAAAAAAAATTTGTTTACATAAAATGATCTGTGCAAATAGTACATGTTTTGAACGTGTTGATTGAAAATTTCATGTATTTTAATTAAAATCATAAAAATGGTTGTAATGCAACCATACAGAATTCATCCATATATATTTGTATTCCAATATCGAAAGTAATATTAAAAAAAATTTGTCAACAATGGAACGGAACTTAGAAGAGTGAAAGACAAAGCATTTGGGGAGAGACGTGGGACTTAAATATGAAGCTGAAAAGACGTGAGAGTTGTCACAGCTGCTTCTTTTTACGATGACGCGGTGCTTTTGGGAGATTCTGAAGAGAAGTTGACTGAATTTTGGATTGTATATAAAAGAAGGAAGCTAAAAGTGAAGGAACAAAGTGATTAGAGTAACAAAAAAAATATTCAGTGAGAGATAGAGTATCATATTGGAAGGGGAGAGTATGGTGGAACCATAGAACTGACGAATGGAAAAAGGTTAGGTTAGGTTAGGTAAGGTTCGTCAGGAAACAGGACAAATGTTTCCTGACGCGGGTCTTAGTCAGATGATGACCCGCCTTTGGAGCTTTTGGTCATCTGACCGAGGCCTTCCGCTGGCTTACCGGTCCACCCCTTTAAAAATTATGGTCATTTATAACCAGTCTTATGGAAAAAGGTGGTTGGTACACTGAGCCATCTGTGGAAACAAAAAATTTTACCTATGGACGTGAAAGGGAAAATATATCAGAGTATAATGGTGCCAACACTGTTGTAAGGGTGTAAAACATTGGTTTTGAATAATTCAGCGAGGGGGCTGGAGGCAGTGGAGATGCCGTGTTTGAGGGCAATTTGTGGTGTGAATGTTACTCGGAAAATTCGGAGTTTGGACATTAGGATGAGGTGCGGAGTTATCAAAAGTATTATCCAGAAGGTTGAAGAGGAGGATGTTGTGGGGGTTTGGACATTTAAAGAGTTTGGAGAGAAATACAATGACTATGAGGGCGTATTAATCTGGAGTGGAGGGAATGAGGGGTAGTGGTCATCCTAGGAAAGGTTGGAGAGAGAGGGTAAAGGAGGTTTTGAGCGCTAGGGACTTGGACATCCAACAAGCTTGTGTGAGCGACTAGTTACTGTAAGTGGAGAAGTGTCGGAATGGGCAAATATGACGAGTGGGGTTCCAGTACTGTTTCTTGTGTATGCATACATGACAGATTAAACTGAGATGTGAAACTGCTGAAGAGAAAACAAAGAGAAAAAGACCATGAAAGGCTACAAATGGACCTGGACAAGCTGTATGATTGATCTAACAAATTTCTATTGGAATTTACCCCAGCACATGCAAGGTTATGAAAATCGGAGAAGGGCAAAGACGTCTGTAAACAGCGTACAGATTCGGGGGATAAAGACTGCAAAGGACCTCAGAGTGAGCATAGTTCCAAGCATTTCGCCTGAGGCACACATCAAGAGAACAACCCTTGCAGCAAACAGGACACTGGCAAATTTACGAGTTGCTTTGTGGAACATCATCAAGGAGGAAATTATGATCCCCTGTACGGGTGGAAACATTGGGGAGTGTTTCCTTAAGACACCTGCTGTCCATGTTCACTTATCAGCAAAATAGGTATCCGGGTGTTAGCCGACTGGTGTATGTCGCATCCTGGGGACAAAACCTAATTTGTCCGAAATGCTCTGCATGACGAAAGACATTTTATGTAGTAAGAGCTGATGTCAGCTAGGTCTATGTAAGTTGTATCCTATATACTTGAAGGAGGTTTCGGAAGCCAGCGCCCCCGTGGCCAGGTGCTGGACCAGGCCTTGTGGTTGATCAGGGCCTGATCAACCAGGCTGTTACTGCTGGGCACATGTAAACCGACGTACGAACCATAGCCCGGCTAGTCAGATACTGACTTTAGGTGCCTGTCCAGCTCCTTGAAGACAGCCAGGGATCTATCAGTAATTCTCCTTATGTATGCTGGGAAGCAGTTGAACAGTCTTGGGCCTCTGACACTTGTGTTGTCTCATAGTATACTCGTGACGCCCCTGCTTTTCACTGGGGAGGGGGATGTTGCATCTCCTGCTGAGTCTTTTGCTTTCGTAGGGAGTGATTTTCGTCTGCAGATTTGGGACTTGTAGAAATAAAGATTATTATTATTATTATTATTGTTATTATTATTATTATTATTATTATTATTATTATTATTAGTAGTAGTAGTAGTAGTAGTAGTAGTAGTAGTAGTAGTAGTAGTAGTAGTAGTAGTAGTAGTAGAAGTAGTAGTAGCAGTAGTAGTAGTAGTAGTAGTAGTAGTAGCAGCAGTAGTAGTAGTAGTAGTCGTAGTAGTAGCAGTAGTAGTAGTATTTCAGGCCCAGTATGCAGGAGTATGCAGCGCCAGTATAAAACCCGCAGCTGGTAAAGAACGTGAAGAAACTGGAAAAAGTGCTAAGATTTGCAGCGAAATTAGTTCCAGAGCTGAGGGGTATGAACAATGAGGAGAGGCTAGAAGAGCTAAACCTGACGACACTAGATTATTATTATTATAATCAAGGGGGAAGCGCTAAACCCGTAGGATTATACAGCGCCCAGGGGGGGATGTGGAAGGCATTCAGGCTTAATTCGGGGAACTGGAGCACAGATTCAATTCCCTAAATTAAGAGCCCCTCACCAACATCAAGGAACCTTCCATGAGGGGTGACGACACTAGAGTACAGAAGGATCAGAGGTGACATGATTACAACGTACAAAATCCTGAGAGGAATTGGAAGATGAACTGGGAGAGAATGAAAGGCAGGTCTCAGGCACACATGAGTCATGCGGATGTTAGGAAATGTTTTCTCAGGAATAGAGTGTTCAGGAAATGGAACAGCCTAGACAGCGAAGTGGTAGAGGCAGAATCCATACATAGCTTTATGAACAAGTATGATAGGGCTCACGCAGACAGGAGAAAGTGAAACCAGTAGCGGTAGGCAGAGAGGCGGGACCAGGAGCTAAGACTCGATCCGCGCAACTAAAATTGAGTACAACAGAATCAGTGTACAGTGAGAAAGGCGGCGGGCAGTAACAGGAGCAGTAACAGTATCTGGAGCAGGAGTAGCAACAGTAGCAGAACAGCAACAGTAGCAGCAGCAGGAGCAGTGGCAGGAACAATAGCAGAAGCATGAGCAGTAGTAACAGTAGCAGTTGCACCAGTAGTAGCTGGTGGAGTAGTTGCAGGAGTAGTAGCAGTAACAGGAGCCGTGGCACTAGCTTCAGGGGGTGAGAATTCCTTAAGATTAATCTCATGGCCTTTTGTACAGGTCACGTCCACTCTCTGCCAACCTTCCCCACCACTTACTGTGACCCCCCCCCCCCCGAATATTATGACCCACCTTCGTTCTGTGACTCGTGTTCATAGTCCCGTGTTCATAGTGACCCCTAGTTTAGAATGTGGCCCTTGTTCCTACTGTGACCACCGTTCATTCTGTGCTTATGAGGGCAATGGTTTCAATGCCAGTATGACAAGACCAATGACACCAGCAAGTGATCACAGCACTGCATTGTTAAGAGACGAGTCACCTGACTAAGTAGCTCATTCCCAGCAAATTCACATAGCTGAGTGAGCGCGCGTACACACACACACACACACACACACACACACACACACACACACACACACACACACACACACACACACACACACACACACGTACTCATATACAACAGGCCTAGTGTCTAATCGACATGTGCCTAGGGCAAAATGGTAACTAACACACACACACACACACACACACCGGACAACATCTCCCCGTGGGCCCAGAGAGAGGGAGCAGAGGCGTTCTGTGTGCTTAAAACAATTTTCAGCATATCTATCGAAACAGGGCGACAGGTGTGGAAGAAAGCAAATGTAGTCCCAGTATTTAAGAAAGGAGACAGACAAGCAGAATTAAACTATAGACCGGTATCACTGACATGTATAGTATGGAAAGTCATGGAGAAGATTATCAGGAGAAGAGTGGTGGAGAACCTAGAAAGGAATGAGTTTATAAACGATAACCAACACGGTTTCAGGGAAGGGAAATCCTGTGTCACAAAACTACTGGAGTTTTACGACAAGGTGACAGAAATACGACAAGAGAGGGGATGGGGTAGACTGACTTTTCTTTGACTGTAAGAAGGCTCTCGACTCAGTTCCACGCAAGAGATTAGTGCAAAAGATAGAGGAGCAGACATTAATATCAGGAAAGGCACTGCAGTGGATCAAGGAATGACTGACAGGAAGGAAACAATTATGGTACGTGACGAGGTGTCAGAGTGGGGACATGTGACGAGCGGGGTTCTACAGGGGTCAGTCCTAGGGCCGGTGCTATTTCTCGTATATGTGAATGACATGAAGAAAGGGCATCCCTGTTTGCAGACGATGTGAAGCTAATGCGAAGAACTAAACCGGATGAAGTTCAGGTACGACTACAAAGGGATCTGGACAGGATGCATGCCTGGTCCAGCAACTGGCTCCTGGAGTTTAACCCCATCAAGTGCAAAGTCATGAAGATTGGGGAAAGTCATTGAAAGCCGCAGACAGTATAGGCTAGGGGCCAAAGACTGCAAAACTC